AAGTTTTCTGGGTTTGGCTGGTTATTACCGGAGATTCATTAAAGAATTTTCAGCCATGGTGTTGCCATTGACCCGTTTGACCCGGAAGGATACTCCATTTGTTTGGACACAAGAATGTGAAGAATGCTTTCAGAGCCTTAAGGAGAAACTGACGACCGCTCCGGTGTTAGTACTTCCCGACCCGGAAGGTGAATTTGAGCTATACAGTGATGCTTCCAAGAAGGGATTGGGATGTGTGCTGATGCAGGATAGGCGAGTGGTAGCTTATGCATCGAGGCAATTGAAACCGCATGAAGAAAATTATCCAACCCATGACCTTGAGCTTGCTGCAATTGTTTTTGGGTTGAAACAGTGGAGGCATTTCTTGTATGGAATGCAATTTGCAATATTCAGCGATCACAAGAGTTTGAAATACTTGTTTGATCAAAAGGAGCTGAATATGAGACAACGACGGTGGACCGAGTTCCTAAAAGACTATGATTTTGAATTGAAATATCATCCTGGCAAGGCTAATGTTGTAGCTGATGCACTGAGCCGTAAATCTGTGAGCATATCAAGCATGATGATTAGAGATTATGATGTGATAGAGAGGTTTAGAGATATTCAATTATCTAAAATCTTTCCATGTAAAATTTGTGGCTTTGAAATCACGAGCATTGAGAATGAACTGATGACCAGAATCAAAGAAGCCCAGCTGCAAAATGAAAGTGCTAGACGACTAAAAGGTCAGAGTGGTGTATCCTGCAATGATGAGGGTATACTATTATATCAGGGTCGTGTAGTTGTACCTAGGCAGTTGGCGGAAGAAGTGATGACAGAGGCTCATAAGGGTCATTTTACAGTTCATCCGGGAGCTACAAAGATGTATCAGGACCTAAAAATGAATTTTTGGTGGCCTGGTATGAAGAAAGACATTGCCGAATTTGTCTCTAAGTGTCTCATTTGTCAGAAGGTAAAGATTGAGCATCAAAAGCCTTCTGGTATGTTACAACCTCTGGATGTTCCTGAATGGAAATGGGAGAGTATCTCCATGGATTTCGTAGTGGGATTGCCGCGAACACAGACTAGTTATGATTCTATATGGGTGATTGTGGATAGATTGACAAAATCCGCACACTTTTTGCCAGTTCGGGTAGATTTCTCTGCGGAGAGATTGGCTAGGCTCTATGTGAAGGAGATTGTGAGGCTTCATGGGGTGCCTGAAAGCATTGTTAGCGATCGGGACCCGAAGTTCACTTCTCGCTTCTGGGGAGCATTGCAGGAGGCTCTTGGCACTCAGTTGAGACTGAGCACTGCTTATCACCCACAGACGGATGGTCAGACTGAGAGGACCATTCAGACGTTGGAGGATATGCTGAGGGCTTGCACCCTGGAGCAGGGTACTGCATGGGATCGATATCTCCCACTGGTTGAGTTTTCATATAATAATAGTTTCCATGCTAGTCTGGGTATGGCTCCCTACGAGGCCTTGTATGGTCGCAGGTGTAGGACACCTACTTGTTGGTCAGAGGTTGGAGACACAGAGCGGTTTGGATTGGATTTTGTTCAGGAGACTACTGAGCAGATCAAAATGATTAGGGATCGTCTGAAAAAGGCTCAAGATCGTCAGAAAAGTTACTATGATCTCAAGCACCGGCCTCTAGAGTTTGAGGAGGGAGATCATGTGTTCCTGAAGCTGTCACCGGTTACGGGTGTGGGACGAGCCCTTGGAGTGAGGAAGCTGAGTCCGAGATTTATTGGACCCTACCTGATTCTTCGTAGGGTGGGACCGGTTGCCTACCAGCTTGCCTTACCTCCGCAATTAGCAAATTTACATGATGTGTTTCATGTTTCTCAGCTGAGGAAATATGTAGCTGATCCTTCTCATGTGGTTCAACCTGATAATGTTGAAATCCGGGAGAATTTGAAGACTCCTATTGGACCACTGAAGATACTCGAAAGAGATGAGAAGAAGCTGAGAAATAAATCTATTCCTATGGTGAAAGTCCAATGGGAAGGAAGGACGCCTGAAGAGTCCACTTGGGAGCGGGAAGATGAGCTTCTCCGGCAATATCCTGAGTTTAAGGACAGGTACGTTCTTGATTTTGCGGACAAAATCGCTAAAAGGTGGGGTGACTATAATAGCCCATATTAATTAATTAGGAAATCAAGTGTAATTAATTAATTAAACATGTTTTAGTGAGTGAAATTAAGTATAAGGCTTAATTAAATGAATCTGAGTCACTTTGGAGTTAAAAAGTGTACTCAGTGAAAATTAAGGGGTATAAATGGGTACTGTCAAAAGTACCCAAAATATAAAAATAAAAATAGTAATATTCCTAGAATAATATTCCAGACTTTTGGGTAAAGTTTGGTAATTATTGGAGTTAAATAGATAGACGAACCAATACCCGCTTAGAGCCACTTAACCTATGTTAAGTGACTTAAGTCACCAAGTGACCCCCATTTCCCACCCAATTCCCGTCGCCAGAAAACAGAGAGAAGGAGAAGAAGAAGGAGAAAGGAGGGAGAAGGAAGGGAGGAAGAGAGAAAGAGAGGAAACCTTAACCGATTTGAGTGATTCAAAAGCCTAAATTGCTTAGAATCTTCCCCTCTTTCATAATCCTAGCTTTGTTTTGAGTGGGGAGCATTGTGGAGAGAGATATTACCTCTCAAAAATTCGGCCCTTTGGTGAAAATTGGGGTTTTGAGAGTTTCTACCTCCATTGAAGCTTGAGGAGCCATCAATCCTTGGTTGTGTGACCATTGGTGGTAAGATTCTAACCCTTGAACCTCATGATTCCTTGAAATTTTGCATGAGTTAGGGTTTATGAATAGTAAATTGGGATTTTGGTGAAATGTAGTTGAATTGACTATGTTCTAGGAAGATTTAAGCTTAGAGCATGTTGTGAAAAATGCTAGGAACGTCATTTAATCGGTGGAAATGAGCCTAGATAGTCATTTGGTAATTGTTCATAACATTGGAAAATTCATACTTGGATTGGTTGGTATTCTAGCATGTTGAACAATTAGTGAGATGAATGATTGATTGTGTCCTTGTGATGTCTAGGATTGAGACATTTGGACCAACCGTGAGTGAGCAACCATTGGAGCAAGCTATGGAGCTTGATTAGCTCCATTGGATAGGTGAGTTCATGCTTATGTTTGGTATGAAATGTATAGCTTGGTTGATAGCTATGAGATGTTATTGGATGCAATATGTGTTGATTGCATTACACCATGTGTAGGTGTATGTTTGTAAAAGTTGATTGCTGAAACTGTTGGTGAAGAACAAAGGTTGACTGAAGCATTGAGGTAAGCCTTCGGACCTTGGGTGTAATTCCCTTGACTGTTCTACCAAGCCCTGAAAGGGTAGAGGTTGTGATTGTGTATATAAATGCAATAAAATAGTGTAATGCTTTGTTATACGTATGTGTATGCATTTGGTGTGGCATAGGATGGTGTTTCCCTATGTGGGTATGTTGCATGACGATGCGTAAATCATACATGGTAGTTAGCTGGCCAGTAGGACTATTTGCATCTGAGTTTCCTTAGGACAGCTTGAGAGCTCGAGGGATTTCTCCTGGAGATGTAGTGCACTTTGCATAGATATGTATTTACTGCATTATTATTGTTATTGCTATTACACTGATATGGAACTGTGGGGTGGAGAGATGCTCCAAGGACCCCTGGTTTACTGGATATATTCGTATATCTCACCCCGTGTTGTGGGGACCCCCTTTCAGGTAAGGATGCTGCAGGAGCCTCTGGTGGCAAGTGGCCATATCTGGATTATGCATGAAATATGGCATTTCTTTGAGTTTATGCATGCCTTTTGTAGTTGACATGTATAGGATTTTATTTTGAAAGCCCATGGTCATTTGTATATCTTGATTCATTGGATGAACTTAGCCTATGCTCATGCCTTTGGTTACACCTTTTGTTGATGGGAGCCAAGGGAATGATCATAGTGTTTTGTAAGCTAAGTTCTATGATTTGTAAAGGATATGTAATGTAAATGATGCCTACTTGAAATTCAATATATGCATGCTTGTTATGTATTGAGTTGTTGAATTGGTTGGGCTGAAAATCAATTAGGTACCCTTTTGTTTAAACTGGTAAACGATGAGAAAACAAAGGTCATGCTGCCCAAATTCTAGCTAAATCTCATGAGGAGAGGTTGGATGAGTGCTAGGATTTAGTTTTGGGGCATGGACAATTGGGGTTTGTAATGGGGATGCATTTTCCCCTAGGCTTGGACTTGAGAAATGTGGGGATTGGAATTCCCTGGCAGCGCGCTTAAGCGCCCAGGAGCGCGCCCAAGCGCCCTGCTGCCCCTGCGAGTGCCAATGCATTCTGCCTCCTCGCGCTGGAGCGCCCAAGTGGGGGCTTAAGCGCCCAGGATTGCGCGCTGGAGCGCCCTGGCCCGCGCTTAAGCGCCCTTAGCCACTGTAGGAGGAAATGCTTCTGTCTCTGCGCGCTAAAACGTCCCAGTGGGAGCTTGAGCGCCCAGGATAGCGCGCCTGAGCGCCCTGTTGCGCGCTTAAGCGCCCATCCACACTGGAATGCCTGATGCTTACTGCCTCCGTGCGCTTAAGCGCCCAGATGGAGGCTTTAGCGCCCGATAGCGCGCGCTTGAGCGCCCGGTAGCGCGCTGAAGCGCGCGGGGCCTGTGACCAACACTCTCTTGTGTTGCTTCAAATTGTCCTAACTTGGACTACAGTGCTCCGATTTGAGCACGGTTTGAAGCCACGGGTAGCTAATGAAGAAACCTACAATATAGTAGAAGTATTGAACTAAACAAGAAGTAAATTAATGGTTTAAAAATGGGAAATGAACATGATGTTAAGCTTAATTTATCTGTTTCCGCAAGGTAATATGGTTATGATCACGAAATTGGGTATTATAAGTTCGGTACGTTTTAAAATGAAAAATTTATCCGGATTTTAATTGAACCCATGTGATTGTAACTGTGCTTAATATCATAATGCGATGTTAACAAACCGGTTCTAGAACGGGGTGTTACACTTTTGGCACAGACCCAAAAAAACTATTGTTTCCTAGCACAAGAGTACTCAGACTAGAACAATTTTGAAAGGCTGAAGACAAATCTGCCGAGAGATTATTGTTGCTCAAATCTAGGATGAAAAGTGAAGGCAGTGCTGAGCATATGGAAGTTGGAATTCCACCTGACAAACTGTTGTTGGATAGGTCAATGATTTGTAAACTCTGCATACCCATCCAAAACTTGGGGATTTCTCCTGTCAAATAATTGTTGGATAGATCAATATAACTCAAATTTTGTATCCTATTTATGGAGAGTGGAATGCTCCCACTGAGTTGGTTATTTGAGAGATCCAAGTACAACAATTGTGACATCTCTTCGCCAATATTGCCTGGTATTGTTCCGGACAATAAGTTGTTCCTTAGATAGAGAGCACTTATTCCAGACCAAAGTGGGACTGAGCCCCTCAACTGGTTGAAAGAAAGGTCCACCATAGGTGGATAAGAGGAAGAGAAGTTCATCTCTTTGGTAAGGTGACCACTTATTTTGTTGTAAGAAAGATCAAGCTGCCAAATTTGGGAGGACAAGTTGTAAAGCCAATGAGGTATCTCATCTAAAATTCCAGTATTTTGTAGGATTACCTCTACCAGAGATGTTTGGTTTCTGAGCCAATTAGGAAATGTTGGGCCAAGTTGACAATCACGAATTTCCACGTGATGCAGTCCCTTAAAAGGCACAACCCAGTCATGTGTCACTTTCAAAGCCAATGAGTTATTTTTAGATGATATAGAGAAACTGAGTAGATTTGTGAGGTTTTGGAAATGAATGTTGGTCATTGTACCTTCCCAAAAATTCTGGAGTAGATTTAAAAATTGCATCTGGGTTAGTTGACCAATGCTTTCAGGAATTGAACCCGAGAGTGAGTTATTTGACAAGTCAAGATAATGCAGACTGTTAAATTGCCCTAAAGAATGGGGCAATTTCCCAGTTAGTTGATTCGAACTCAAATATAGCCACTCCAGACTTTGGTTGCTACAGGATAACAAGGCCTCCAACATTTCTGTTATATCCCCAGTGAGATAATAATTACTTGATAGGTCTAGAAGCTGAAGCTTGCTAAGATTCCATCTCACCAGCATAGGAGGAATGAGACCTCTTAGAGAAGAAGAAAGATACAGTTGTGTGAGGGTACTCATATTAAACAGCCAAGAAGGTATAGAGGAATCAAAAGGATTTCCAGAGAGATCAAGCACAGAAAGTGATGTAATATTTTCAAATGGAAAAGAAGGGGGGAGAATACCAAGATTGCAAGCGGACAAATGTAACTCTAGCAGAGATGGAATCATATTTATAGCTCGAAACAACTCATGGGATGAGATGGTAATGTTAACAAAATCCATGTGAAGATATTGAAGTGAAGACAGAGCAGAGAGCCAGCTTACATCTCCCACCCCAATTGATGTGAATGGGTTAGAGATGTCAAGGTAATGCAAATTTGACAAATTGCCAAGTTGACTAGGGACCATACCAGAAAAATTTGCAAAGGAGAGGTCAAGGTAACGCAACATATTGAGAGAACCTATAAATTTTGGAATGGGTGTTCCTTCCAAGTTATTGAAACTTAGGTCCAAGAGAGTAAGATGTGTCAAGTAAGTCAATGAAGGATTTAACTCACCACTTAATGGTGTTGATGGCAATATATCTGTGGTGGAGCAGATATGTGCGAACTGGAGATCAAGCTTTAGAACGTGACCAGTTTGATTGTCACATTCTATACCCTTCCAATTACAGCAATCTTTCCCAACCCATGAAGAAAGGCAATTAGAAGGATCTTTAAGATCTTTTTTGATTTTAAGGAGGGCCACTCTCTCTTCCTTAATGCAAACAGTGCTTGCATTAAGGCTCGTTACTACGTTGGGAGTTGATACAAAAAGAAAGAGGAGAGGAATAACAAAATATCCTAAGAAGATTTTTATGCTTGCCATCATCTCACCAGAGGATACCATATGGTTTCAAATTTACCAGTATGAGCTTTTGATGAATAGATATATATAGAACAAAAGTGGCTAGGAATTTCTTGGTATATCCCTTTCTTTATTTTTGTTTCCAACATAGTCGCATTATCGATCTTTTTATATTGGCAAAAAAAATATTGTGAAACTATCGGTGGACGGGTACTATCCAGTGCAAAGTTCTCTCAGTCAATCTAGGATGCTGCTTCGTCAAAATACTAAGGTACTGTAAGTGATCGTGATACAAGATAATGCAATAAAAATCCTGATAATAATTTTCAGAACCAAAATGTTCATTTCGTAACATTAATTATTTGATGTAGGCCCTTGGTACACCTCAAAGTCTATAGGCATGCCCTTTTCTGAAAGACACATGGCATTTCTATAAAATAAATCAAGTCATAAATTATTTATGTTGAACTAGTATTTATTTTAAAATAAAGAGTCCTTCTTATCTTCCCACCGTTTTAAAATTTTTGTTGCACTGTTTTATTTGTATAAAATTCCGTCAGCATTTGCTCAGTAATGTCTGGGATGTGACATTGGTGCATACCTTGAGCTGAATTCCTTGCAAAGACCGCAACTCATGTTGATGGAATGTGTTGGCAATGAATTGTTTGTTGATTTATATTAGTTAAATAAAAACATTAATATTATATATAGTACAGAGTCTTCTACCGGAGTCGATTTCGTACGCTAAACTGAGTAAATATAATAAACCTTATCACGATGGAATGCGAGTGTAATAACTAATTTTATACACTGTTGAAGTATTCCGCTTTATTTCTTGGTGAAAGAAATGAACAAATTTTATGTACATTGTACTGTATTTTGCTAATTTATCATTTTTCTAAATCTTAAGATATATTTCCACACTATCTTCTATGGAACAAATTGAATTTTTTTTTTTAAATATTGTTATTTTAATAATTATTTATGAAAATACAATTATTTTGAAACTAAATATGAATCTATTGTATTCACTCACGTTCAATTTTGGACGTGACAACTCTGCCCAAAACATGCTCCGGATGAGGCGTGATCATAAAGAAGAGAAATATGCCCAACATAAAACATGAATGACTAGTGACACGCCCCAATATGGGATGACACAAAAACCTCTATTCCCATTAAGGCCATAAACTCAGTCAGCGAAGTTTACATTCTTTTAGCACGTGGTAAAATGTTTACAATATTGGGGTTGATGCCATTAACTCAGTCAACAAAACTGATGTCCTTGCATTACTTAAGAAAAAATATCCGCGAATCTACGGAGTACCGATACTTCAAAAATTCTGACACGTTGTATCCGACATTTCTCGACATTTATCGACACTCCAACACTTCCCGACACTTCAATACTCGTTGCAAAGACTCAAAAAAGGTTCAAAGATTACGTTGCGTTGCATTTTGAGTTCCAACTATTAGATTTGTTATATTACGATTACAATTTTATTGAATTTAATATAAATATTTGAAATATCTTATGTTTCTTTACAAAATTAATGGGTATTATAAGTTTAACTTTATTTTTTTGTTAAATTATTGAATACTAAACATAATATACACTACATAAATAGAAATATTATATAATATCAAAATGTGTTCTAACATGTCAAACTTTAATATTTTTTAAAATCAACGTGTCAGAGTGTCGTGTCCCGTGTCAGTGTCGTAGCAAAACCTTTGCCATTTTATATACCTATATATGAGCATATGAAAAATAGTTCTCTAATGAGAAAAAAGTCACTTTTGTTTATTAAAGAGTGACTTTTACCAATGAAATATATATTTTTTACCTATGAAAATATTTTTTATATATATATGAGAAAAATATTTCTCAAGTTCTTTGAGATATATTTATCTTCGATCAGTCCAAAACTACGTCGTTTTGTTTATTTATTTCCTTATATTAATTGAATTACCTTTGAATAATTATGATTCTCATTTTCTCTCTCTTCCTTTATCACCATCGATTCATCTGTGTACGATTATGATTTAGTGATCGGAGACAAAGTGTTCTTTAGCAACTTGAGAAATAATAAGCCCTATAAATAAATAAATAAATATATATATATATAATAAGATCTGTAACACCCCGTTCTAGAACCGGTTTGTTAACATCGCATTATGATATTAAGCGCAGTTACAATCACATGGGTTCAATTAAAATCCGATTAAATTTTTCATTTTAAAACGTACCGAACTTATAATACCCATTTTCGTGATCATAACCATATTACCTTGCGGAAACAGATAAATTAAGCTTAACATCATGTTCATTTTCCATTTTTAAACCATTAATTTACTTCTTATTTATTTCACAACTTCTACTATATTGTAGGTTTCTACATTAGCTATGCGTGGCTTCAAACCGCGCTCAAATCGGAGCACTGTAGCCCAAGTTAGGACAATTTGAAGCAACACAAGAGAGTGTTGGTCACAGGCCCCGCGCGCTTCAGCGCGCTACCGGGCGCTCAAGCGCGCGCTATCGGGCGCTAAAGCCTCCATCTGGGCGCTTAAGCGCACGGAGGCAGTAAGCATCAGGCATTCCAGTGTGGATGGGCGCTTAAGCGCGCATCAGGGCGCTCAAGCGCGCATCAGGGCGCTCAAGCGCGCTATCCTGGGCGCTTAAGCTCCCATTGGGACGTTTTAGCGCGCAGAGACAGAAGCATCTCCTCCTTCAGTGGCTAAGGGCGCTCAAGCGCGGACCAGGGCGCTCAAGCGCGCAACCCTGGGCGCTTAAGCCCCACCCTGGGCGCTAAAACACGAGGGGACAGTAAACATCCCAACTTTCTGCAGCAAAGGGCGCTTAAGCGCGGGCCAGGGCGCTCCAGCGCGCAATCCTGGGCGCTTAAGCCCCCACTTGGGCGCTCCAGCGCGAGGAGGCAGAATGCATTGGCACTCGCAGGGGCAGCAGGGCGCTTGGGCGCGCTCCTGGGCGCTTTAGCGCGCTGCCAGGGAATTCCAATTCCCACATTTCTCAAGTCCAAGCCTAGGGAAAGATGCATCCCCATTACAAACCCCAATTGTCCATGCCCCAAAACTAAATCCTAGCACTCATCCAACCTCTCCTCATGAGATTTAGCTAGAATTTGGGCAGCATGACCTTTGTTTTCTCATCGTTTACTAGTTTAAACAAAGGGGTACCTAATTGATTTTCAGCCCAACCAATTCAACAACTCAATACATAACAAGCATGCATATATTGAATTTCAAGTAGGCATCATTTACATTACATATCCTTTACAAATCATAGAACTTAGCTTACAAAACACTATGATCATTCCCTTGGCTCCCATTAACAAAAGGTGTAACCAAAGGCATGAGCATAGGCTAAGTTCATCCAATGAATCAAGATATACAAATGACCATGGGCTTTCAAAATAAAATCCTATACATGTCAACTACAAAAGGCATGCATAAACTCAAAAGGAATGCCACATTTCATGCATAATCCAGATATGGCCACTTGTCACCAGAGGCTCCTGCAGCATCCTTACCTGAAAGGGGGTCCCCACAACACGGGGTGAGATATACGAATATATCCAGTAAACCAGGGGTCCTTGGAGCATCTCTCCACCCCACAGTTCCATATCAGTGTAATAGCAATAACAATAATAATGCAGTAAATACATATCTATGCAAAGTGCAATACATCTCCATGAGAAATCCCTCGAGCTCTCAAGCTGTCCTAAGGAAACTCAGATGCAAATAGTCCTACTGGCCAGCTAACTACCAAGTATGATTTACGCATCGTCATGCAACATACCAACATAGGGAAACACCATCCTATGCCACACCAAATGCATACACATACGTATAACAAATCATTACACTATTTTATTGCATTTATATACACTATAATCACCACTACCCTTTCAGGGCTTGGTGGAACAATCAAGGGAATTACACCCAAGGTCCGAAGGCTTACCTCAATGCTTCAGTCGACCTTTGTTCTTCACCAATGTCAACAATACTCTACTCCAAAACCAACACCTACACATGGTGTAATGCAATCAACACATTGCATCCAAGAGTATTTCACAATCAACCATCAATTACTCAATTCAAAACACAACACAAGTACGAGCTTACCAATTCCAATGAGCTATTCAAGCTCCATAGCTTGCTCCAATGGTTGATCACTCACGGTTGGTCCAAATGTCTCAATCCTAGACATGACAAGGATCCAATCAATCATTCCACTCACTAATTGTTCAACATGCTAGAATACTAACCAATCCAAGCATGAATTTTCCAATATTATGAACAATTATCAAATGACTATCTAGGCTCATTTCCACCGATTAAATGTCGTTCCTAGCATTTTTCACAACATGCTCTAAACTCCATTCTTCCTAGAACATAGCTAATTCAACTACATTTCATAAAAATCCCAATTTACTATTCACAAACCCTAACTCATGCAAATTTCAAGGAATCATGAGGCTCAAGGGTGAGAATCTTACCACCAATGGTTGCACAACAATGATGTGAGTGCTCCTCAAGCTCCCATGGAGGTAGAAACTCTCCAAACCCCAATTTTCACCAAAGGGCCGAATTTTTGAGAGTCAATATCTCACCACACAAAGCTCCCCACTTAAAACTAAGCTTGGATTATGAAAGGGGGCGAGATTCTAAGCGATTTAGGCTTTTGAATCACCCAAAACGGTCAAGGTTTGATCTCTCTCTCTTCCTCCCTTCCTTCTCCCTCTTTTCTCCTTCTTCTTCTTCTTCTTTTCTCCTCTTCTGGCGTCGACGAAATGGGGTGGGAAATGGGGCTCTTTTGGCTTTTAGTCACTTAACATTGGTTAAGTGGCTTTAAGCGGGTATTGGTTCGTCTATCTATTCAACTCCAATAATTACCAAACTTTACCCAAAAGTCTGGAATATTATTCTAGGAATATTACTATTTTTATTTTTATATTTTGGGCACTTTCACCAGTACCCATTTATACCCCTCAACTTTCACTGAGTACACTTTTTAACTCCAAAGTGACTCAGATTCATTTAATTAAGCATTATACTTAATTTTACTCACTAAAACATGTTTAATTAATTAATTACACTTGATTTACTAATTAATTAAGATGGGCTATTATAAGATCAACTTATATCGGTATAAGAATAATAAGTCTTATACCTTCATAACAATTAATGTTAATACCTGTGCATCTGACGATTATAATTTATTAGGTATTTATAATTAATTATTGTATATCTCTTAATAAATTTCAACTGTTGCATGTAGTCATGTATGAAGATTATTGGTTATGATTTGGTGTAAGATTTATTATTCTTATACTGATGTATGATCATGTCAATATATATATATATATATATATATATATATATATATATGTGTGTGTATATGGGATAAAGTAATTAATTAATGGGCATAATTCAATAAAATTGATTACTACAAAGAAAATTTAAATTGTGAAAATTTATTTATGGGCTTGATGAGATAAATCCTAATCTGACCTATGCTTCCATGTAACAGAAAATTCAAATATACGTCGTTCTTTAAAAAATATTTTTGGTTGAGTTGATTGATTTTAATTTTGAAAATATAAATTTTGAAAATATTCTAATCGGTTCATCGCTTCGCAACTAATCCGATTTGGGGCGGGTCCAGGATTAAGGCTTTAAACCGCTCCCAAAGGCGATACTGGGAGAATTCGATCACATGCTCTCGCCCCACCTGCTCAGCTCCCATACGTCAACTGAGCTACCACCATTTGGTTTGAAAATATAAATTTAATAAACTCATTTGAATGCATTTAAAAGTTTTGGATCATCAAGTTTTTGTAGCCAAAATGACCTGAAATAATAACTACAAGATTATCAAATTGTATCAGCCCATCTAATCCTCTTAGTCAAAGTAAATTAATTTTGATACTATTTGATTTAGTTCATGTGATTAAGTTAAAAAGGATTACAATTACTCATTTAATTTATTTTTTTCTAAAAACAAATGGATCATTAGATTGTCATGACAAAAATGATCCTAAATGAAATTCAGGAGATTAGCAAGCCGTTATGACTCAGCTAATTTATTTTTTTTACTCAGCTAACCTGTTATTTGATATAAATCATGTTTTGATACTTTACTTTTGAAAATTCAATAAGTGAGAATATAATTGTTTTAATTAAATATTGGTTTTTTTTAAAAAATAAATAAATTTTATTGGATTAGAAAATTTTAGGTCATATACAAGACGCAAAGTTAACAAATCATCACAACTAAATTAACTCCAATTTAGTCTTCATCAAAATTTTATTAACAAAAGCAAAATTGTTTTCTTCCAACATTTTTTTTCTAATGCAAAGTTTGGTGGCTTGCTTTATAATGGTTTTTTTTATCTCCTCTCTCCTCGTATTCTCTCTGTCTCTCTTCTCCCATGACGAGAGCAGATTAAATTTGCTCCTACCATTGCTCTAAAGTGTTGGGATTGATTTTACTAAAAAAAAAAAAAATAGTTTTCTTATTTTATATGAAAATATTTTTTCATATTACACTCACAGTTAACAAGTGAAATCCATCTTGATTTTTTTGTTTTCTCACTTTTTTTGTAGACCCTTCTTATGTATTGTGCGTGCAACATAAAAAATATTTTCATGTAAAATGAAAAAACTAATCCAAAAAAAAATAAATGTTGGGATTCGATTGGCGACCACAGAATCAATGCTGCATCTGAAAGATTCTCTCATAAACTTTGTCGCCCTTATATTATTGATAAAAATTCTAATTAAGCGAAAAAAAACAAAGGTAAAGTAGCGCACTAAGAGAAACACTTTATATATATATATATATATATAGAGGGCAAAGATCATTTTACACCAGTGTAAGTTACACTCTCAATCTTGTGCGTTGATTCCATTTATATCTAAGGGCTCAATTTTTTTAGTAATGTGAGTCATTGGATACAAGTGGATCAATAATCAAGATTGAGTGTAAAACTTCTAACTCTTACACTGGTGTAAGAATATCTTGCCCCATAGATATATATATATATATATAGTGAGAAGTGAGAACTTATTGATACTATTACTAATTTGTAAAAAATTCCCATATATAATATAAATAAGGGTCGAATATTGTTAACAATTAATTAGGATTACTATCAATATTATTACGAATCAATTTTATCATTTGATCAATTATATTGATTCAACGACTATATTTATTTCTATTTTTATATAATTATGATTCCTCATATTTAATGTGAAGCATTAAATATGGAAAATCATAACCATATAAAGATAAAATAAATATAAAATATTAAATATGAGGAATCATAACCATACAAAGATGAGCATAATCAAATTAATGATAAAATTGATTGGTAATAATATTAACCCTAATTAATTTTTACAATATCCTAATCCATATAAATGTATGTTACCAAGCAAAATACTCAAAGAAAAAGCATCAGTTATTCCAAATCCAACAATTTGTTACAGACGTGTGCAATTGGAAAACCCAACCAAGCATATGACTACTTTGTCTACAGATAACACGCATGAATTCAGACAACATACAGAGAGTTCAAACAAAATACACAAGAAATAAATATGATAATTGCCTGTGGTTTGGTTTCAGCGTTTTTCCAGTCCAAACCTGCGTTTTGCACGCCCCATATTAACAGCGATCAAGACCACAAGCTTATCTCCCATGTCAAAAATAAACTTAAAATATGCATGTCTCCAAGACCTCTTTAACATCAAGCTGCCACACACAAACCAGAAGCCCGTAATGTACCCAACAACAATGCTTGCATATAACCACAACCTTTCGGTCTTGTCATCATCATCATCATCATCATCATCTTCATGTTTTCTTTCTTGTTCTCCATTTCCAGGCAATGATGGTGAGCGATTAGTTGGCCAAATATCTCCATGAAGTTCCGGGTTGCCTACATAAATTGATGGATCATTGAAGGTCCCAAACTGATTAGCTTCCGGAATTTGACCAGACAAGTTGTTGTATGACAAATTCAAATGGCTCAAGAAAGTCAAGGAAGTCATGCTTGGAGGGATTGGACCAGAAAGATGGTTGTGTGAAAGGTCAAGGCTTTCTAAATCTGTTAATGATCCAATGTTACTAGGTATGTTCCCAGTAAGCTGGTTCCATGACAAATTCAGGGCACCCAAGTGAAATAGCTCTGTTAGTTTCTCAGGTATCTCTCCAGAAAGATCATTATGAGAAAGATCAATGGAGGATTGCACCGGCATTTGGTTGAAGTATTCAGTTATTCTTCCTTTCAGGACCAACTCTATATGCCTCGTGTAAGATGCAATGCCAAGAAAGGGTATTGAATACATCAAATAGATAAAGTAAGTTTGCGGCAGTTTGAAACCATGCACATCACCCAAACATGTTGGTATTGATCCTGATAGGTTGTTTTCTGCAAGATCCAATATATGGAGAAAAGGTAGACTACACAGCTCTTCAGGAATGCTTCCGGAGAGTGTGTTGCCTCGTAACAGTAACTCTGAAAGTGAAGGAAGGTTTTTGGCTATTTCTTTTGGCACAGACCCAAAAAACCTATTGTTTCCTAGCACAAGAGTTTTCAGACCAGAACAATTTTGAAAGGCTGAAGACAAATCTGCATAGAGATTATTGTTGCTCAAATCCAGGATGACAAGTAAAGGCAGTGAGCATATGGAAGTTGGAATTCCACCTGACAAACTGTTGTTGGATAGGTCAATGATTTGTAAGGTCTGCATATCCATCCAAAACTTGGGGATTTCTCCTGTCAAATAATTGTTGGATAGATCAATATATCTCAAATTTTGTAACCTATTTATGGAGAGTGGAATGCTCCCATTGAGTTGGTTATTTGAGAGATCCAAGTACAACAATTGTGACATCTCTTCGCCAATATTGCCTGGTATTGTTCCGGACAGTGAGTTGTTCCTTAGATAGAGAGCACTTATTCCAGACCAAAGTGGGATTGAGCCCCTCAACTGGTTGAAAGAAAGGTCAACCGTAGGTGAATAAGTGGAAGAGAAGTTCATCTCTTTGGTAAGGTAACCACTTATTTTGTTGTGAGAAAGATCAAGCTCATTAATCTTGGGGGACATGTTGTAAAGCCAATGGGGTATCTCATCTAAAATTCCAGTATTTTCTAGGATTACCTCTCTCAGAAATGTTTGGTTTCCGAGCCAATTAGGAAATGTTGGGCCAACTTGACAATCACGAATTTCCACGTGATACAGTTCCTTAAAAGGCACAACCCAGTCATGTGTCACTTTCAAAGCCAATGAGTTATTTTTAGATGATATAGAGAAACTGAGTAGATTTGTGAGGTTTTGGAAATGAATGTTGGTCATTGTACCTTCCCAAAAATTCTGGAGTAGATTTAAAAATTGCATCTGGGTTAGTTGACCAATACTTTCAGGAATTGAACCCGAGAGTGAGTTATTTGACAAGTCAAGATAATGCAGACTGTTAAATTGCCCTAAAGAATGGGGCAATTTCCCAGTTAGTTGATTCGAACTCAAATATAGCCACTCCAGACTTTGGTTGCTACAGGATAACAAGGCCTCCAACATTTCTGTTATATCCCCAGTGAGATAATAATTACTTGATAGGTCTAGAAGCTGAAGCTTGCTAAGATTCCCTCTCACTAGCATAGGAAGAAGGAGACCTCTTAGAGAAGAATAAGAAAGGTGAAGTTCTGTGAGGGTACTCATATTAAACAGCCAAGAAGGTATAGAGGAATCAAAAGGATTTCCAGAGAGATCAAGCACAGAAAGTGATGTAATATTTTCAAATGGAAAAGATGGAGGGAGAAAACCAAGATTGGAAGTGGACAAATGTAACTCTAACAGAGATGGAATCATATTTATAGCTCGAAACAACTCATGGGATGAGATGGAAATGTTAACAAAATCCATGTGAAGATATTGAAGTGAAGACAGAGAAGAGAGCCAGCTTACATCTCCCACCCAAATTGATGTGAATGGGTCAGAGATGTCAAGGTAATGCAAATTTGACAAATTGCCAAGATGAGTAGGGACCATTCCAGAAAAATTAGCATAGGAGAGGTCAAGGTAACGCAACATATTGAGAGAACCTATAAATTTTGGAATGGGTGTTCCTTCCAAGTTATTGGAACTTAGGTCCAAGAGAGTAAGATGTGTCAAGTGAGTCAATGAAGGATTTAACTCACCGCTTAGCGGAGTCCATGACAATATATCTGTGGTGGAGCAGATATGTGACTGCCGGAGATCAAGCTTTAGAACGTGACCAGTTTCATTGTCACATTCTATACCCTTCCAATTACAGCAATCTTTCCCAACCCATGAAGAAAGGCAATTAGAAGGATCCTTAAAATCTTTTTTGATTTTAAGGAGGGCCACTCTCTCTTCATTAATGCAAAGAGTGCTTACATTAAGGCTCGTTACTACGTTGGGAGTTGATACAAAAAGAAAGAGGAGAGGAATAACAAAATATCCTAAGAAGATTTTTATGCTTGCCATCATCTCACCAGAGGATACCATATGGTTTCAAATTTATCAGTTTGAGCTTTTGATGAATAGAGATATATAGAACAAAAGTGGCTAGGAATTTGTTGGTATATCTCTCTCTCTCTTTCTTTCTTCTTAACATAATCGCAGTAAATTATCATTTTATATCGATAAACAAATATTGTGAAACTATCGGTGGATGTGTACCCATCTTCTGCGAAGTTCACTAAGTCAACAAATTAATTACCAGTATGAGCTTTTGATGATTAGTGTTATTTAGAACAAAGTGGCTAGGAATTTCTTGGTATATCCCTTTCTTTATTTTTTTCCAACATAGTCGTATTATCGATCTTTTTATATTGGCAAAAAAACAATTGTGAAACTATCGGTGGACGGGTACTATCCAGTGCAAAGTTCTCTCAGTCAATCTAGGATGCTGCTTCGCCAAAATACTAAAGTACTGTAAGTGATCGTGATACAAGATAATGCAATAAAAATCCTGATAATAATTTTCAGAACCAAAATGTTCATTTCGTAACATTAATTATTTGAAGTAGGCCCTTGGCACACCTCAAAGTCTATAGGCATGCCCTTTTCTGAAAGACTCATGGCAGTGCTATAAAATAAATCAAGTCATAAACTATTTATGTTGAACTAGTACTTATTTTAAAATAAAGTGTCCTTCTTATCTTCCCACCGTTATAAAAATTTTGTTGCACTGTTTTATTTGTATAAAATTCCGTCAGCATTTGCTCAGTAATGTCTGGGATGTGACATTGGTGCATACCTTGAGCTGAATTCCTTGCAAAGACCGCAACTCATGTTGATGGAATGTGTTGGCAATGAATTGTTTGTTGATTTATATTAGTTAAATAAAAACATTAATATTATATATAGTACAGAGTCTTCTACCGGAGTTGATTTCGTAAGCTAAACTGAGTAAATATAATAAACCTTATCACGATGGAATGCGAGTGTAATAACAAATTTTATACTCTGTTGAAGTATTCCGCTTTATTTCTTGGTGAAAGAAATGAACAAATTTTATGTACATTGTACATGTATTTTGCTAATTTATCATTTTTCTAAATCTTAGGAGATATTTCCACACTATCTTCTATGGAACAAATTGGCCAAAAAATTTAAATATTGCTATTTTAATAATTATTTACGAAAATACAACTATTTTTAAAATTAAATATGAATCTATTGTATTCACTCACACCCAAAACTTACTCTGCATGAGGCGTGATCAAAAAGAAAAGAAATATGTCCAGCGTAAAACATGAGTGACGATGGGCGTGTCACAAAAACCTCTATACCCACTAAGTGTTGGGTTTAAGTATGCTCTTTTCACTTAAGCCCAATAGCTTTAGTGAGAGTGAACCCAAAGACTAATTCTAACCCATGAAGCTTAGGGTTAGTTTTGGATTGTGCAGGTATATAAGCACATTTTTCTCCCTTTGCCTCCTAGGGTTACAGACATCAGAAACACACCTAAGAGGCAGACGTTCATCATGTGAACGGTTGCCCACACGACCACCTGATCCCCTTGAGTCATAGCCTGGAAGATCAACCGTAGAGCGGAACTGCGACCGTTCGTGGTGCATTGCTGCAGATCGTGAGGCTTGAGGAGGAGAACAAAACGTGAGAAATTGTCACGCTCGCTGCTTCATCTCAGGTAATCAAAGCGGTGTTCTTCATTCCTCATCACATCGGTACGATGCGCTTCCGGGTTTCTGATGATATACCTTCACTAAGGCCATAAACTCAGTCAGCGAAGTTTACATTCTTTTAGCACGTGGTAAAACGTTTACAATATTGGGGTTGATGCCATTAACTCCAGTCAACAAAACTGATGTCCTTGTATTACTTAACAAAATGTATCCCGCGAATCTACGAAGCATTGATACTTCAAAAATTTTGACGTGTCGCGTCCGACACTTTTCGACACTCATCGTGTAATGCCCGGTCCCTTCAAGAATCAATGACTATCCCCACATACTAACACGAGACTTTTCAGTGTGCTTTTTCCTCACTCGCACACTTCCCGAGAAAACTTCCCAAGAGGTCACCCATCCCAGAATTGTTTTAAGGCAAGCACGCTTTAATATGGAGTTCTTTCGTTCCGGGCAACCGAAAAGTAGATACATCTTGTCAGTATAGGTAGTACCAATTAATTCTTATAAGTCATCCCAAACTGTGCAGTCTCATACCTGCACAGACTTTGGAATCCTTCTCTTTCGGGTGTTGATCCTATTCATTCGTTCATATAACCCCACTATAGAAGCCTATTAGGAGCCGCTCCTTGTCCATGCCCTTTCGCACCAGTGATCACTCCCTATCATCGTCAGCGCTCGGGATGTTACACATCGACACCCTAACACTTTTCGACACTCCAATACTCGTTGCAAAGACTCAAGAAAGGTTCAAATGTTACATTGCGTTGCATTTTGAGTTCCAACTATTAAATTCGTTATATTACAATAAATATACACTACATAAATTAAAAATATTTTATAATATTAAAACGTGTCCTAACGTTAACATTTTTTAGAATTAACGTGTCAAAGTATCGTATCCCATGTCAGTCGTAGCAAAACCTTTGCCATTTTGGTAGTTACCCCTTTACACTTAAATGCAAAACTACTTGTTGTAATTTTTTTAAAGGATTTGCATTCATCATGTAACATGACACAAATTTTTTTTCTACACACACAACATTTTGTGAGACCCACATTTTTTAAAGCAAAATAAAATAAAAACTAAGACACAAAAACGAATTTATATAACATGAGAGAATCACTTTTTCTATGAAGTAACTCTTATAACACCCCTTTTTTTTTTTTTTTAATCTACAAAAGAAGAGCTGAGTCAGCTGACAATAGCAACTTTCAAACAAAGTCTGTGTTTTTTTACTTTTCAAAAAACAAAGTGTTATACCGGTCTACTTTCCATATTTCCCTGTTAAAAAATAATAAATAAATAATGTGATACATTTTAATTAAACATTCCTACATATGCTAAATCGGTAAGACTTGACTTATTTGTAACATACTGATGTAAAATGGGCCCATGCAGAACATATCTCTCTCCTGTGTTTTGGTAAATAATTATTAAAATAACAATATTTTAAAAAAAAATTTGCCCAAATTCTCGTTGAGAATATGTTGATGAATGGATTAAATTTAAAGCATGAATTAAAATGATTTGAAATCCGGAATGAAACTGACTACTTGATTATTGGGAATCCCATGTCTAGTGTGGATTAAAGTCTAATCAAGCTGAAAAGCATACATGTCACTATTTCAAGTACTTAAATATAACCTATTGACATATATATATAAGGCCACACGGCCATACATTTCAGATATTTTTATCCCCAAAATGTATAACTGCATGCATATAGTTGTGATTTATTCACTCAAGACCACACAAATTAACAGCTACGTACGTTCAAGGAAAAGGTGCCCTCAATTTCATTTCAGTCTCCTCAAAGTCAATAGCAAATCCATTGCCATGATGTTTCCAATAGTCTGCCATAGGGTTAATCATCTCTGGCTCAAGAATCTCCAACCTTGAGCTTGCCAAACTCTCTGAGGAAATATTGTACTTGGCATCCCTCTCATGCAGTAACTCTGGCCTCACCAGCCCAGGGCTCACTGCTTGCGGAGACATCATCAGGGCTGGTGCACCCATTGGAAGCCTATCCCCTGCATTTGCAATTTTAACAATTAACTTCCCACATTACAAATACAATGCATGCGAAGGTTAACCTTACTCAAATTCACCCTTAAAATAAAAATAAAATAAAATAAAATTAAGGCTACTCAAACAGTATCTAAGATCACAGCACAACCACATTGCATGGTTTTCAGATTCTCAATTTGAAGGGACGTTTTTTTAATAATGCCACGGGTTTACCTCTGAATATTGTGCTCTTTTAATAGCATTACTAATAAATTTTATTAAATTGAGTCACACTTAGTTCTAGATGCCTTTGACAGTTGTAACTCGAGATATTGTGCAAATACTAATCATTTTTTCTGTGAAAAATTGAAAACAGAAACAGATTTCTATACCTCTGTCAACCTGCCATGTACACCAGAATTTGCCATAAGTTTTGGCAAGGTTTTCAAGCTCTGGCATCCCAATCATCTCTGGAACTCTGGGATTCACCCAGAGACCTGATTTGATCTGCATATCCGAATTAGTCTTCAACAATCTTCTATGATCAAAATTAATTCAAAAAAAAATGCAAGCAACGAAACCAAGTAAGTTCTGGTGGCCCAAAAACCTCATAAGCATGAGAGTGCCAAAGCTTCTGCTCCTCCGGAGGCAGAGTTTCAAAGATTTTATCAGACACGATGTACTCCACACCTATCACACGCAGAACCAAATTAAAAAAAAAAAAAAAAGATTGAGTTTTTTTTGAAAGTTGGAACACAAAAAGAGAGACAAGAACATGGGAAGTGTATTACCGATGAGATGAGCATTGGAGTCATCGGAATCGTAGACAGCGCACTGGAGGAAATCTTGGTTGAGGCGGGTGCAGTAGTGATGAGTCTCAATCTGGCGAGACATGTCGTGGCTGTACATGGCGAAGGTGCACACGTGCTGCTTCATCTGCTTTATGGGTTTGAGAGACTGCATCATCATCACACTCTTGTCGATCACGTGCTGCCCAGTGCTCATGGGCTTGCCGGGAATTGGCTCCGGTCCCTTTGCTGGCGTGGGGCCCGGTGACTTGTCGGTGGAAGCCATTGTTGCAAAGTCTGAGTCTCCTGTGACTCTGAGTATGGATGGCACTTCGATCTCTTGGGCTTGGCTTATAAGATGAAGGGAAGACAACGTGGGCTGTGGTTTTGGTTCCACGTAGACATGCAGGATGCTTACGTGGCTGAGTTTAGTGGTACTATTGTGCCATTTGGTAAGAGTAGAAGAAGAGTTTTATTTTATTTTTATCTATCCGAGAATAGACGTGGATTTAAAAACAACGTGCCATTTGGTAAGACATTTATCCAGAAGTAGCTGATAAACAACTCGGCCTGTCGAAGTAAATAGATGTGGATTTATCTATATATCTTCATCAAAATTTTATTAACAAAAACAAAATAGCCAAGTTGGAATAATGTGGTGCCTGATTATATATTCACGTGTTTGGGAGTAATATTTGTGTTCTAATGCATAAACTTTAAGCTCTTCTATTTTATGTGGGAATAATAAAGTCGCATGATTCACTATAGAGGTGTAAATGGGTTAAGGGTACACTTACGAATCAAAAATAAAAGATATGGCTTAGATCTATATCAAGTTTTTATTATCTATCAAGAATCACCAAAAAATATATAAAATATTGTTTATTAATTAAAATTATTTAAATAATTATTTATTTAATTTTAATTAAAATAAATAACATGATACATACTAACTAACTTGTAGGTCAGACTTTATAGAAGTAGGCCTAAAACTTATTTTTTAAACAAATTTTTTTAAGATTCCAGCTTGTTCTATTTTATTAAATAAATTAGGTTAGATCAGATTTGATGTAAGTCAACTCACATGTCCCTAAGAGCCCAACTGATCCTTTTTTGTTTTTGTTTTTTGTTTTGGTAACGGGCAACTCACCCTTTTTTTTTTGGTAAAAGGCAACTCACCTATTTATATACCAATATATGAGCATATGAAAAGTAGTTCTCTAATAAGAAAAAAGTCACATTTGTTTATTAAAGAGTGACTTTTTTTTTTGGTAAGCTGGGTAAAACACACTACACCACAAATTAAATAACTGAAATACGACGAGTTCTACAAATAGAAGCTAAATCTGCATCAAACAGCAGACCAATTCCAAGGGGGGAAATTAAAAACACAAAAATCATCAGAATTAACATTCATAAAAAGAAAATTTGCCAGTCAATCCGCACAACAGTTTCCTTCTCTGAAAGTATGAACCAGATGAACTCTCCAAACCTTTTGAATCCATGTCTGTAATCGAGAAATCAGAGGATTCTCGCGGACTGCATCACCATCACTAGTGAGCAGAGCAATAGCTGATTTAGAGTCACTTTCTACAATAACATTTCTCCATCCATCTTCCCAAGCTAGTTGCAAACCCTTTAAAATACCCCAGAATTCTGCAGTAAGAGAGCATCACAACTACCAATTCTATAAGCATATCCTTTTAACCATTGACCAGCATCATTTCTAATAACACCACCACAAGCTGCTAATCTTTGATTACCCTTAATCGCTCCATCCGTATTAATCTTTATCCAATTGCTTCCAAGAGCCTTCCAACAAATCAAAGTATCCGAATGGGACATGTTATTTTGAGCTAAATTAACCTTATGAAAAGCATCTTGTATATCTCTCACCTTGGCTATCATTGACTGAATCTTGTATTGATAATCACGAACCTGATTTGGATTGTCATGACTCCTTTCATTCCTCCACTTCCATGCAAGCCAGCAAGCCGTAACAAACCATGTACACCAAGGGATATTATCCCTGAAAAAATAATCTGTGACATGTTTAGTTCTATCCAATCCCATAAATTGGCAGAAAAGAAAGAAACCTGCATATTTATTGGTACCAAATCAGACCACAAATTCTTCATATCATTACAATCTCTCAATAAGTGAATACAAGTTTCATTATGCTCCCAACAAATTGGGCAAGAAGCTGAACCCATATTAAACTGGCTAAGGAAATTTTTTTTAGAAATTTTATTGTGAAGCACTTTCCAAATAAACAGCCTAATAACCTGAGGTCCCTTCTAATTCCAAATTTTCTTCCAAATAAGGGCCAAATCCTGCTGCTCAACCGCACCAGATAAAGTGGCATAAATACCCTTAACAGAAACTTTGGTATCACCTTTTAAATTTCAAATCAAGTGGTCCATCCCATCATGAGGATTCGGGGGGAGCATACCTCGGATGTTAAGCAGAACATCATTTGGGAGCCACCTTGAAAGCTTGTTTAGATCCCAAACTCCATTACTGTCTATATAATCAGCCACCTTCATGCCCACTTCATTCCAAGGAATCGGACTTAAGGCTTTATCCATCAGCCTACCTGCATTTTTAACCCAATTATCCTTCCAAAAAAGAATATTATTACCATCACCAATTTCCCAAATCAAATGCTTCTCTAATTTATTCCACACCAAACAAATGAATTTCCACAGCCTTGAATTACTAACCCTGCTTTTAAAAATATATGTTCCCATTCTCTGACCTCCATATTTAGCATACAAAACCTGAATCCAGAGTTCACCATATTGGCTAAAAATAGCCCAGACAATTTTTCCAACAAAGGCCTCATTCATTAAATTAATCTTTTTTAATCTCAACTCACCACTCTCTTTTGGCTTTGTAAGGGTTTCCCAACCAACAAAATGCATCCTCTTTTTATCCTCTATATCCCCCCAAATAAATCTTCTCTGAATTTTTTCAAGCTCATGACATACTGCAACAGGAATCTTATCACATTGCATTTGGAAAAAAGGCATTGAAGCCAGTGTAGACTGAGTGAGAGTAGTTATCCCAGCTTGAGAGAGACACTTAGCCTGCCAACTATACATCTTAGATTGAGCTTTTTCCACAATGCTAGCATAAACCTCCTTAGTGACCCTCCTATGCTTCATCCACACACCAAGATGCTTACCTACATTTCTAACCCATTAAAGAGTAACTTTTACCAATGAAATATGTATCTTTTACCTATGAATTTTTTTATATATATATATGAGAAAAATATTTCTCAAGTTATTTGAGATATATTTATCTCCGATCAGTCCAAAACTACGTCGTTTTGTTTATTTATTTTCTTATATTAATTGAATTACCTTTGAATAATTATGATTCTCATTTCTATCTCTTCCTTTATCACCATCGACTCATCTGTGTACAGTTATGATTTAGTGGTTGGAGATAAAGTCATCTTTAGCAACTTGAGAAACAATAAGCCCTATATATATATATATATAATAATAATAATAATAATAATAAGATCAACTTATATCGGTATAAGAATAATAAGTCTTATACCTAATCATAACAGTTAGGGCTCGTTTGGTGGACATGATAGGATAAGAACGGATAGGATAAGAGAGTTAGATAAGGGTAAGATATGATATGGGGCTGATAAGCCTATATCATGTCCTGTGTTTGATGAACACCTGCTTAGCAATCTGATAAGATTATGTTATCCTATCATGTGTTTGAGGCGAACCAGATATCATCAGGATATAATACAAATAGACTAAAATACCCCTTTTAACATAATGTCATATAATTTATCAAAAACTAATTTTTTAAATTTTTAAATTTATTTATATAATTCTAACAATTATAATTTTAAAATAAATATTTTTAATTAACTTTTTCACTCTCTTCAAGCGAGTATTTCCCTTTCTTCTTCCTTCAGTTCTGTTCCTTTCTTAAGTTTCTTTCTTTTGTTTCTTTTTTAAGTTCCATTGGCCAAATTTAATCACAAGAGGTTGTTGAGAATTCGTTCTCTGCCGACCACCACTTGAAGACTTTTCTTCTTCTGCATTTTTTTCTCCCAAATCTAAGCCGTCATAAATCTGGATTTTTTTTTTCACCTGAATCGCTTAATGGTGAAAACGTTTGTTTCCACTAATCTTATGCGTTTACACGTTGATCCCAACCAATTTGAGAGAAAAAACAATCTCAAGTAAGATTCAGATCCTGTTAGGTAGCGTGGGGATATATTGAGTATTCAATATTGGTATCCTATCCTGTTGAATCCTAACTCTGCTCCCCCATAGGATAAGAAATCATGTATTTGATAGGATATAATGAGACAATAGGATAAGCTAATCATATCCTATTGACCTACCAAACAAGAGATAAAAGTAGGATATGATAAGTTATCTTATCTTATCTTCTTTATCAGGTGCTCCAAACAGGTCCTTAATGTTAATATCTATGCATCTGACGATTATAATTTATTAGATATTTATAATTAATTATTGTATATCTCTTAATAAATTTCAAGTGTTGCATGTAGTCATGTACGAAGATTATTGGTTATGATTGGGTGTAAGTCTTATTATTCTTATACTGATGTATGATCTGTCCAAATATATATAAGGGATAAGTAATTAATTAATGAGCATAATACAATAAAATTGATTACTACAAAGAAAATTTAAATTGTGAAAATTTATTTCTGGGCTTGATGGGATAAATCCTACTCTGACCTATCCTTCCATGTAATAGAAAATTCAAATATACATCGTTCTTTAAAAAATACTTATGGTTGAGTTGATTGACTTTAATTTTGAAAATATAAATTTAATAAGCTCATTTGAATGAATTTACAAGTTTTGTATGATCAAGTTTTTGTAGCCAAAGTGACCTGACATAATAACTACAAGATTATCAAATTGTCTCAGCCCATTTTTTTTTCTTTGGAGGTTACAAGGAATAGAACACAACACCCTACACTACACACACTCTAACACACACACCCCACACCACTAGGGTAACCCTAGTGGTGCATTGTCTCAGCCCATCTAATCCTCTTAGTCAAAGTAAATTAATTTTGATACTATTTGATTTAGTTCATGATTAAGTTAAAAAGGATTGCAATTGCTAATTTAATTTATTTTTTCTAAAAACAAATGGATCATTAGATTGTCATGACAAAAATGATCCTAAATGAAATTCAGGGGATTAGCAAACCGTTATGACTCAGCTAACTTTTTTTTTTACTCAGCTAACCTGTTATTTGATATA